TCCAGGGCCATTTCTCTTCGCATGTAGCTAGTGTGGATTTCCCCCTGCTTCCAAGGTGAGATTCTCCGTGTCTTAGGGTTATCATTGCCGTGATGAAACACCATGACCAAAGGAACTCGGGGAGGAAGCGGTTTATTTGGCTTACACCTCCGCACCACAGTTCATCATCAAAGGAAGTCAGGACAGAAACTCAAGCAGGGCAGGAACCTGGAGTCAGGCGCTGATGCAGAGGCCATGGAGGGTGCTGCTCACTGGCTTGCTCCCATGGCTTGCCCAGCTGCCTTAAAGAATCCAGAACTACCGGCCCAGGGGTGGTCCACACTCCCACATCAATCAGAAATTAAGCAAACACCTACAGGCCTGCCTGATAGCCTGATCTTATGGAGGCATTTCCCTCCTCTCAGATGGCTAGCTTGTGTCAAGTTGACATAAAACTGGCCAGCACACTCAGATTACCCTTGATTAGAGGCATTAATTCTCATGCTGAATGAAGAGTGCCTACTATGTGTACTGGCTGGGTTAGGGATGTGTCCTTCTTAACATATTAACTAGAAGGAACCTCGTTGTGTTTCAAGCACAATAATAAATGTTTTCTGGCCGGGCGTCGGTGGCGCACGACTTTAATGCCAGCACTCTGGAGGCAGAGGCAGGCAGATCTCTGTGAGTTCAAGGCCAGCCTGCTCAACAGAGCGAGTTCCAAGACAGCCTTCAAAACAATACAGAGGAACAAAACATAAATAAATAAATGTTTTCTGAGAGTGAAACACTTAAAGACAAAAGCATCTCCAGTCTTCCAATGCCCCCCACCATCTCCCCATCCCACCTCCCATCCACTCCCCAGGGAGGGCGAGGCCTTCCATGGGGGATCATCAAAGTCTGTCATGTCATTTGGGGCAGGGCCTAAGCCCTCCCCCCGTGTATCTAGGCTGAGAGTGTATCGTTTCATAGGGAGTGGGCTCCCAAAGCCCATTCGTGCACTAGGGATAAATACTGGTTCCCCTGCCAGAGGCCCCATAGACTGCCCAGGCCTCCTAACTGACACCCACGTGCAGGGGGCCTGGTTCTGTCTTATGCTGGTTTCCAAGCTGTCATTCTGGGGTCCATGAGCTCCCCCTTGCTCAGGTCAGCTGCCTCTGTGGGTTTCTCCAGCCTGGTCTTGACCCCTTTGCTCCTCACTCCTCCCTCTCTGCAACTGGATTCCAAGAATTCAGCTCAGTGCTTATTTGTGGGTCTCTGCTTCTGCTTCCAGAAGCTCCTGGATGAAGACTCTAGGATGCCATATAAGGTAATCATCAATCTCATTATAGGGGAATTTAAAGTAGCCTCTCCCTTATTGCTTAGATTCTTAGGGGTCATCCTTGTAGATCTCTGGATATTTCCCTAATGCCAAATTTTTCTTTAAACCTATAATGGCTCCCTCTATTATGGTATCTCTTTTCTTGCTCTCCTCTATTCTTCCCCTGACTCAATCTTTTTTTTAACATTTTTTTAATTTTAAATAGCTTCTTTTACATGTTAATCCCAGTTCCCTCTCCCTCCCCTCCTGTCCTCCCGTACGCCCCCATCCCCCCATCCTCCCACCCTATTGCCAATTCCTTCCGCATAGGGGATATCTAGAGCCTATCATTTCATTCAAGGTAGGGTCCAGGCACTCCCCTAAGAGTCCAGGCAGAGAGAGCATCACTCTTTGTGTTATGGACACACAATGTCTGTTAGTCGCCCCTCTCTCTCTGCCCTGATTCAATCTTCCTGCTCCCTCACGTCCTCCTCCCCGCTCCTCTTCTCCCTTATCTTTCTCCTAATTCCCTTCCCCACCCCCACCTGGTGTTCCCAATTTGCTCAGGCAATCATGTCCCTTTCCCCTTCTCCTCGGGACCATGTATGTCTCTCTTAGGGTCTTTTTTGTTTCCTAGCTTCTCTGGTGGTGTGGATTGTAGACTGCTAATCCTTTGCTCTATTAAAACATCATTCTTAATATTTAAGGCTTAATGATGGAAAAACTCTCCTTTGAAAGAAAGTGCTCCCCTGCCTTTAAGAAATGATAGACATTATTTCTCTCTCTCTCTCTCTCTCTCTCTCTCTCTCTCTCTCTCTCTCTCTCTCTCTCTCTCTCGGATAATAAAGCTTTTCTTTCTTTTTTACATACTAATCCCTTTTCCTCCCACTCCCCCACTTTTGTTCCTCAAAGAGGGTAAAACCTCCCATGGGGAGTCAAAAAGTCTGTCCCATCTCCACAGGGCCTGCCCCCTGTGATAGATATCATTTATAAAGTGCACTATAAAATTATGACACCCAGGGACTGTTGAAGGTTCAGGGTCACCACCAGCAGGATCTGCAACTTGAAGGCCTGACTCAGATGCAGCCAGGTTCTTGAACACAGACAGCTACACATGTCTGCAGAAGCTGTATGTATAACTGGAAGACAATGAAGCTACCTATTCCACAACAAAGTTGAGATAGCATGAAAACATGTGAGGGTGTACTTACTTTCCAAAACTTATGCCCTTGGAAACTTTTTAAAGATAATGCTTTTGGTCAGTCCCATGGGAGTGTGGTCAACTTACTAGAGGTCAAACCCTTGAAGAAAACTAACTGTCCCTCGCGCAGAAGCCATCAACTGTCCGTAGCTCCTCAGTCAGGAACAGGGACTCATGAGCCCCTCCCTGCTACAATGTGGACCGGCTTGATCTTCATCAGGTCTTTTCCAGGTGTCCCCTGATGCTGTGAACTCACAAGTTCAGCAGTCCTGTCATGTCCAGAAGACCCTGTTTCTATTGAGTCCTCCCTGACTGCTGACTCTAACCGTCTTTCCACGCCTTCTTCCCAGAGGGTCCCTGAGCCTTGGCTGGGGAGGGGTGATGAAGATGTCCCATTTGTGGCTGAGCACTCTAGTGATACTTACTTTCTGGACTTTTGTAAGTTGCGAGTATCTGCAATAACCACTGCACAAAGAAAGTCTCTGATGGTGTCTGAGATCCTCACTCGTCTACTGGTATAGAGATATGAATTTAGATGACAATTTGATACGATGAGCATCTATTTAGCAAAATAAAAGCAGCTGGTTCACTCCACAGTTTTTGAGCTTCCAACCATGTGTTCTTGGTCATACTTAAAGTGCCAGGCGTGTGTTTCCTCCTGGAATCCTATCAGAAAGTGGCTAGTTAACCCTATAACACCCATGCCACTATTATACCATGGGTCATTATTGAAATCCACAAGTTCACATCTAAGTAAAGCTGTTAATGATCCCACACACACAAACACACACCCCACCAGAAGCCTACACAACATCTTCCAATGCTTACTATAAAAGCTGGCCATCATGTAGGAGGCTTTATTGTCAGTTCTAACTTGTTTGGTTTTTTTTAACGTCCTGTGACCAAAGTATGTGGTGTCTTCAAGCAATAGGCTCTCACCATTAAGTTATGGTGTGTATCCAATAGCAACTGTGATAGCATATGTATATATGGACATAATTTATAAAATAGTTTCCATATGGACCTTTTCAGACATCCCTAATTACCCCCATCTACCCATGCTTCTACCATACTGTCTCATCCCTCTCCCCGCCTAAGCCTGCATCCCCATTAATCCCCTCTTCATCTTCATAAGGATTCTGGTCACCCTGCCCCGTCTCTATCCCCCACTCTAGTGGCCCCTTTCTAGTTTCCTGGATTCTGCAAGTACTCCAAGTTACTTTAATAATCTTGAATGTGAAGTTTCTCAGGAACAGCAGTTGTTTCACGAGTATCTAGCCAGTTCCGAAAGTTTCCCCTGAGGTGTGGGCCACCCTTCTACCTTGATGATACTGTCTCAAAGCCCTGAGAGAGTTTTTCTCAAAGTTCTTAATTCCTTCCTAGGTGCTCCCAATAACCCTTCAAGCCTGAGGCCCAGTAATGGCTACAACCCCTTTTCACGATTTTTGGCTTCCAATCTATACTGCCACTGTAACTCCTGGAAACACACTTGTCTTCACAGACAAAGACCTGATGATGCTTAGCCAGCTAGGACAAGATCTAGAACCACTAATGAGACTAAGGTTTCTCCATATCATGTTGACCCAAATCTTACACTCTCTCAAGACAGACATCCAGAAACTTCCTGGTGTAGTCCCATTACTAAAAAAAAAGAAAAAAAAACCATAGGGTATCAACCTCTGGAAGATCCATCTTACCATTTAGAACAACCAATCAGAATCAACCATGTCCTTATAACAAGAGTTGCCGTCCTATGAGCCCTAGAGCCAAGAACTGACCAATAAGAACTGCCGTGCTTAGCCCCTTATTTGCACAGCAGAAAGCTGGAGGGAATCAAAAAGAGGACATCTCCCATCTAGAACAGGACCAGTCCATTGTCCTAGGTCAGGCCATTCCCCGCCGCCATGGCATTGAACTTGCCTTTTTCTGCTTTCATCTAATTGTGACGAAGTCTTCACTGTTCTCAATGCCAACCCACCATGGCTATAGGAAGCCAGTATACTCTACTGTACATGCTAACCTGTAGGTGTGTGTGCACAAGTGTGTCTCCATTGTCTAGAAGCTTCTTTCCTCCAGTATAAATGGTTAGTGTTACCATAAAGTTGACACTGGCTGCTTGAAACGTTGCCCAAGCTTGGGAGCCACACTGGGAGTGACTACACTAGCCAATGACACAGACAGAATGGGCACTCTCATTTTCCACGTCTACATTTACATACCACTTTACATGACCTCACACTTGAAGCCAAACTAGGAAGTCTTTGCCTTCTCCATAAGGCTGCTGTGTTTTAAGAGGAGCAATCCATTCAGAGCAAAGGAATCACTACTCTACCACGCAATTCATAGGTACAAATTCATTCTCCACGAAGCTTTGGTTGGGAATTTTATATCACATACAATGGCCTGCAAGCTACATGTGCAATGAGAAGCTCAGAGCTGCTTTGCAACCAGGAGAACGCGTCAGCATCTTTCATTGCTCAGAAAGATCTAGATGTCCATCTGTATTCTCCTTTCCCATTCCAGGTGGGCAGCATGCTGAAGACGCCCACGTTTCCTATTTGGCTGTGCAACATCAATGGAAATTATAGCATCCTTTTCTGCACAAATAGGCAGCTCTTGTCTGACTGGAAGATGGAGCGTGTCTTTGATCTGCACTTTTACAGCGGGCAGCCCTCACAGAAGAAGCCTGCACATCTTACAATAGGTGAGCACTTGAGACTCCCAAGTGTGGGCTTTGGTGCACTTGGAGCTGTGGCTGTCATTGTTTAACAGCTGTGGGGTTACTTGTGCTGCCATTGCAAGAAATACTTAGACTCGGTTCTAAAATGAAGTCCCTGCCTAGGTCCAAATCCGTTGGTGTGGGACTTTAAAATGCGTGTGTGAAAGCATGTGTTAGCGTTAGAAATAACACAGGAAAATGAACAAATTCTAGTTAAGATAAGAAATAAATGCTGAAGAGTCAAATTCCCAGAAATCTTTCTCCAAGACCCTATCTTTAAGCATGGGTTAGCCAAGGCCCCAGGAAAGACGTGCAAAGCAAAGGGGACACAGATTTCCACCTGGGCAATCCTGTATCCAGGCAAACACAAGACCATCACTCAGTGACGTAAACAGCAAACCTCCAGCGGCCCTAGGAGAAACACAGACAGGCAAACCATTGTTGTCTCAACTACAGCTCCGGTTCCTTAAATTCATGCAGAAAATGATTAAATGTCTTTAAATACTAGCATCTTTGACAATGTGTCAACAATGGGCAGACTTGACTTCTGTCCAACAATCTTGGATCCCTTTATGGGGCTTTGTCCGTGGCTGGCTTCACATTTAGCATCATAAGCCCGGGGTTGAGTAACCTTTTGTTGTTCTCCCTGCGTTTAGAAATGGCTGTAAGAACACATTCCTGCAGCTCCTATGCTTTTATTTAACTATGAGAGACACATATTAACTCATTAACTTTAGTGTGACTTTGGCCACACGCTCCTTAGTATCTACTGCCGTTTTTTAACTCTACTGACCTATGAGGTAATCCCACATATTCTGTTCCGAGTGCTGTGTTGAGAGTGTATGTAACACAAGCATTAAATTCCCGATAGCCATATGAAGCAGGTACTCCAACATCTATTTTTGGCTGTATAGCTGCTAATGCTTAGCCACTAAATGAATCGATGAAGCAGGGCGATGGTATCTTAAGTACTTCTCAAATGTTACCCGGCCATTGCGAGACAAGCCTAGACCTGGAAGACAGCTTCTGGATTCCCTTTCTAAACATCTCTTCTTAAAAAGTGGTGGGCTTTCCTTTCACCTGTTTTCCTGACAATATCAGTGACACATGCCTGGTCCTATGTTGCCACATCATGTTGCGTTAAATGACATGAATATTCACATACCAAAACACAGTAAGCCTGGCCCCTAAGTGCAAGAACCTCCCCGCATTTAATCAATTCTAAGGCTTCCTGAGCCAGCTCCGCCCACCTTGTCTCTTTCCCGTGTGCACTGGCTTCTTTGGGAACAGGCCAGTGGCCTGGATATCAATGCTGCCACTCCATCCTCAGATACTCACTCCCATCACTGGGAAGGGGAGCACAGGGAGGATGAGCACGGATCAGGAAGACGGTTTTCTCCGGTGGAAATGGCAATCAGAACTAAGTGGAGAGGGGCTACCGTCAACTGGAATGGAACCAGTCCCTTTTTCTAAAACGGAGACCGGAAGAGTCTGAAGGGTCAGAACAAACGGGACGAAGTGGGCGGGCATGTAATTCCCACGGTCTCCCTTCATGAGCCCCGCTGAGAAACACCACTGCGGTTTCTCATCCCTCTTGGCCGTGCCTTTGCCGTCATGATTGCTGTAGAGAACGTGTCTCTATCCCAGGCTCTGAACAGTGGATCCTTCATTTCACTCAGAAGAGGAAAATGCGGTCTCTCCTCTCCATGTTTTCCAGACTGTTCTTTTTCTGAGACACACCAGGACTGAGGCGGGAAGCTCACTTCCATTTGAGGATGAAGTCATCAGGAATACATCATCAGCTTTTAGCAATGGCAAGAACTCAAGTCCCGTCAAGCCTTCCCGGTACAGGCAGTGCTCCTTTCCAAGGACACAGCTCACACAGTCACGTTAGCGGATTCTTCTCAGTAAAGTGGAGATGGGCTTTCTTTCCCCTGCTTGGGGAGGGGTCTGTTCCCCGTGGGCTGGGAGCTCTGGTAGGGTCATGGAAGACTCATGCAGTCAAGGCATCAGGTAGAAAGACACATTCTTCTACCAGTACTCCGTGTGTTCCTTTCTCCTAAACTAGATATAAATAACAACAATAACCATAAGCCGAGACAGTCTTACTCCTACACAAAATAAGATTCTGCAAAAATAAAACCTCATCTCAGTGTTCAAGGGGGAAAAGAATTTGTGATCGTTCTCTCTTATGCTAAATGCCTACACATTTTCTGAAAAGATACACAGACTAGACACATATTCTTTCTAGAAGACGTGCAGGAAAAGCATCTAGATGTTTTTCCCACCCCCAAACCCTATCTGCTAACTCACAGATTTAGGGCTTTGGATATGGAAATCAAGGACAGGTTCCAAGGGACAATGTCTGTGCACTCATTGTCCACATTAATTTATTTGATGCCTTTTCTTTTGGCTCAAGAGCAGTGTATAACCTGAGCGGAGAAGAAAGCTTGAGAGCGAGTAATAAATTGTCTGAGGAGAAAGCCTGTGGCTCAGAGTTCTGATCACGGTGTTGTCATCATTGATGGGTTCGCCCAGAATTTTAAATAAGTAACGCTTGCCTGAGGATTCGGAAAGCAAGGTCAGCCACAAGCCATAGAAGCCAGGTACACACCTTTAATCCCAGCAGCCAGAAGCCAGGAGGTGGGGGTACACACCTTTAATCCTAGGACTCAGAATTAAGAGGATCTCTGTGAATCCAAGGCCCCCCAGATCTGCACAAGATTGATCCAGTCCTAAAGAGAAACAGCTCACACAAAGATGATCTCGGCACCTGGGATCATACGCCTTTAGTCCCCAAGCTAGAGGGGTATAAAGGAGGAGCAGGGTCTTCAGTAGTCGGTTTCCAGCCACAATGAGGATAGGAGGCATTCATTCTCCAGCCACGTTGAGAATAGGGACGCCCCATCCCTTTTTGAGGCAAGAGCTCTCTGGTAGCTTGGCTGCTTTGCGTCCCTCAGCTTCAGGTTGAACTCCAGTATCTGTCTCTGGGTCTTGTTTGTTTGTTTGTTTGTTTGTTTGTTATAGTCTTAGCAACATTGTGGGTTTTGTTTTGTTTTGTTTTTGAGGTTTGGGTCCAAAGCAAACCTCAGTTTGTTCTAAGAGTATTAAGTTGTCTCTTTTCCAGTTGTGACTGGAAATCTTAAAGGCATATTAGAAAGTATTCTGTCAGAAAGCAGTCCATCCAAGAGATACCACGAAGTCGCAAGCAATAAGGGCATTCTTTGGGACCAAGAACAGTCTAGGCCCTGGTCCGGGAGGGGTCCATGATTCTCTGAGACCAACTGTGGTTCCTCCTGTATGGCTGGGCTTGGGTGCCTTTGCTGCACAAATGCAGGATCTGCCCAAAGCACAGGGCTCCTTACAGCGGCCTGTGGAAAACAGCCCAACTCCTCTATATTCTACTCCTGCCCTTGTTCCTCAATTTCTTCCCCATAGCCAACCTTGTTCTGGCGAGCTTTGTGTCAGTGTGACACAAAGCTGGAGTCATTTGGGCAGAGGGACCATTAATTGAACAAACATCTCTATAAGCTTTGCCTGTATACAACCTGCTAGTGCCTTGCTTCCGTTACCAATTGATGTGGGAGGGCCACTGTGGGTGGTGCTATCCCTGGATAGGTAGTACTGAGTGCTGAGTGCTGTAAGAAAGCAGTGTGCCTTCCAGTGACTAGGAAGGCCGCAGAGCTTCTCATCCGGGCGAGAGCCAAACACGCCAGATCCCAGGCTGAGCCCTGGACTCTTGGGGGAGGTTCCATGGCCTGCCCTGGATGAAATGACAGACTATGGACACCCCCATGGGGGGCCTCACCCTCCCTGGGGAAATGAGGGGATAATGGGGGGGGTTGGTGGGAGGGCACGGGAGGAGGGGAGGGAAAGCGAGAGGGACCTGGGATTGACATGTGAAGCAACCTTGTTTCTAATCTAAATTTAAATTTAAAAATAAAAAGAGAAAGAAAGCAGGCTGAGCAAGCCTTGGGAACAAGCCAGTGAGCCGCATCCTCCAGGACCTGGGCATCAGCTCCTGCCTCCAGGATCCTACTTTAGCTCCAGCCCAGACTTCTTGATGATGGACTATAAATGTAAATTAAAATCTAAAAAATAATTAAAAGAATTAAAACCTTTACCCTCAAGTTGCTTATGCTCATGATTTTATCAGAGCAATATAACTGACTAAGAGAAGCCTAGACTAGGATAGTCCTCAGAAGAATAGTTTACTATCAGAGGGGAAACGTGGATCATCTTTTTCAAGTATAAGCTTACTGATGTCACTAGCCCAGACAGGACTAGGCTAAAACCAGTCAGGCCTGGGTGTCCTCCTGTACTTTATCCTACAGAAATAGCCCAATGCAACCAGATGAGACTTGTGTTGAGCGGTCCAGATCACACAGGACCTTCAGTCACACCTGGACCTGACCCTGCTTACACATGAGTAACCATGTTATCAACTGTCATAATTGCCTTGGTATGGGCCTTTGAGACATCATCTTCATTCATTCATTCATTCATTCATAACTTCAGGGATGCATCCTCGGTGACCTACTTCCTCTGCCTAAACTTCAGCTCCCAGAGTTCCTAGACTGTCCCCACGTAGGACCAGCAGCTGGGGACTGAGTGCATAGTAGGGTTCTACAGGGGCCGTTTCCCAGGTGACAGGCACTGTGCTGCAGTCCTGAAAACACAGCAAAATCAGCAGGCGGCCTCCTCCTCCTCCTCCCTCCTCCCTCCTCCCTCCTCCTCCCTCCTCCCTCCTCCCTCCTCCTCCTCCCTCCTCCCTCCTCCCGACTCTCCCGGGACCGAAACTGTCCCGAGGAGGCAGCCTTGGGTCAAACACCCACCACAATGGTTCCCAGCTGGAAACTGAGGTCAGCCTTTAGAGGGATGGCGGTGGTTGGGCATGCCGATTTTGTAAGACTTTGGGGGGTGGGGAGAGCATCTCCAAGGAAGAGTCAGCTAGGCTGAGGCAGCAGGGCCGAGCAAGGGTAACGGGGTGAGCAAAGGATGGATGGGCACATGGGTAGCAAGCTCTGTGGGTGGGGTTGCCGGAAGAGGAAGAACGCAGAAGCCCTCAGGACCAACCTGCAGAAACCCAGGGTGGAGAGTGGGTGAGGAACAGGCCCGCTAGGGGGCGGTCTCCACCAGGGGGCATTAGAGTCTTGAAGGGTTTTTAATAGTCCTGGCAGGATTTACATTTTCAACAAATGCCTTGACGTGAAAACAGACTGGCAAGAGCCCAGAGGAGACTGGCTGGGTGGCCGTGGGCTTGGTGGGTCAGGGTGATCAGAGTCCACTGAGGTCCAGTTGCAGGGATCCGAAGTCGGACCCGTGAGGAAAGCGCCCAAAAGGTCAAGGGAGGACTGAGCCCAGGCAGGCTGCATGGGGAGGGGAAGGGGGGGATGACATGAGACTGGTAATATCTGAGTTTCTGTTCTGATAGCTGGTGAAAGGTTGTTCCCTCCCCAAAGAGGGGGAGGAGGAGGCCGGTGTGGAGAGGAGGAGAGGGAGAGAGAGGAGGAGAGGGAGAGAGAGGAGAGGGAGAGAGAGGAGAGGGAGAGAGAGGAGAGGGAGAGGGAGAGAGAGGAGGAGAGGGAGAGAGAGGAGAGGGAAAGAGAGGAGAGGGAGAGAGAGGAGAGGGAGAGAGAGAGAGAGAGAGAGAGAGAGAGAGAGAGAGAGAGAGAGAGAGAGAGAGAGAGAGAGAGAGAGAGAGAGAGAGAGAGAGAGAGAGGAGAGGGAGAGAGAGAGAGAGGGAGAGAGAGGAGAGGGAGAGAGAGGAGAGAGAGAGAGAGAGAGAGAGGAGAGGGAGAGAGAGGAGAGGGAGAGAGAGGAGAGGGAGAGAGAGGAAGAGAGGGAGAGAGAGGAGAGGGAGAGAGAGGAGAGGGAGAGAGAGGAGAGGGAGAGAGAGGAAGAGAGGGAGAGAGAGGAAGAGAGGGAGAGAGAGGAGAGGGAGAGAGAGGAGGAGAGGGAGAGAGAGAGGAGAGGGAGAGAGAGGAGAGAGAGAGAGGAGCTCTCCCATGGGCTAGAATTGGTTTGGGCTGCACAGGACCTGGGCCAACACTGCAGGACATCACATGGTCAGGTCCTAGGGACTTGCCATGATGTGAGAAATCCAAGGGGCCTCTCAGAGGAGGACAGACCTCAAAGAAAACGGGGCTTCCCACATGGCAATTACATTGTGTTTACATTTAAATAAAAAAGTGGTCTGATGGTCGTTCTTTGGAGAAGGAGGGAGGGAGGGAGGAAGGGGAAAGGGAAGGGAAGGGGAGGGGAGGGGAAGGGAGGGGAGGGTAGAGAAGGAGAGGGGAAGGAAGGGAAGAGAAGAGAAGGGGAGGGGAGGGAAGGGAAGGGGAGGGAAGAGGAGGGGGAGGGAAGGGAAGGGTATTGTCTAACTTCACATGGGGAAAACACTTCCCAAATGCCCACAGGAGCCAGTCTGAACAACAGAGCATGCGTGACCACCTAGAAGACACTAGCAGGGGACACTCACGGCACCAGTGAAAGAGAAAGCCCAATGGAGAAAAGCAGCCCAGACCCAGGATGAGGTCAGCAAAGCCCGCCAGAGTGCTGCCCGGGCTCTTCCAGGTGTCCCTGTGACTTGCCGTTAGCAGATGCGTTTGGCTGGGTCTGAGGCAGAGCACTGACCTCACATGAACGGGACCTGGAGTCCAATCCCCAGCAGTCAGGGAAAGCTAAAAGAGCCTGGTGGCAGGAAGAGAAGTGGAAAAGTGGACTGCAGAGATGCGTCTTGTCATACACCCCTAAGGCATTTTTAGTGGTCACCAGAGACAATCTAAGTAAGAGGTAGTATTAGGAAATGGTTACGTTAAAATCAGAGAGGACCAACTTTGAGGGGATTCAGTCAGTTGATTTCATAGCATCCAGTTTCACCCAATTAATTTGCTAACTTTTACTTATGAGGCATGGGGGGTCTCGAGGATCCCAGGCTGGCCTCGAACTCTTGGTGGCTGAGACTGACCTTGAGCTTCTTCTGATCCCCTGCCTTTAGTTCCCGAATTCTGGGATTATAGGCAAACACCACCACCTAACCTGGGGCTATATGCATGCCAGGCAAGCGCTCTGCCAACGAGATACACCCCCCTGTATGTAAAGTACTTCTCGAGTCTCTGTCCAAGAAGGACTTGGGGCAGCTGGCAAATGCAAAACTTCCTATCATTTAGTTCCTTGATGGAACCAAAGAATGTATTTTCACTACTGTCCACAAGGTGGTGCTGTAAGAGTGACATTTTCAGTTGTATTAACAAATCCAAGGTGGGAAAGTTACACACACACACACACACACACACACACACACACACACACACACACACACACACGACAAATACGTTTTTTTAAAGATGCAATATACTCATGCAACAGAATATACAATGAAAATAAAAGGAATAACGTGTATAGATGGCCATATCATAGTTGGATATCCCATAGATGAACTTGAAAAAGTGATGTCAAGTGAAAGACCACACATTACCCCAGCTAGTGTGTGGCAAATCACTATAGCAGACAAAAGTAGGCTACAAAGGTTGATTAGCTGTTTCCTAGGTCTGGAGGGCGGTCAGAGGTATGAAGGGGGGATGGCGACAGGGTAGTGCCTCTTTGGGGGACGATCTTGATGTTTTAAAACTGGATCGTAGCC